CACTTAAGTTTTGCGGATGACATTATCCTCTTCACTTCTGGAAGACAGAAAACACTGAAGCTTATCATGCAGACTCTCCAGTCCTATGAGCAGTCCTCAGGCCAATTAGTTAACACTGATAAAAGCCATTTCATGGTTCACTCGTGTGCATTCAACAGCACAAAGGACAGAATCAAGAGAATCACTGGTTTCAGGCAAAAGGAGGGCCCTATCACCTACCTCGGCTGTCCCTTATTTGTTGGTAGGCCTAGGATTATTTATTTTTGTGACCTTATTAACAAAGTTTTATGTAGGATCACAGGTTGGCAGACTAAGCTTTTAAGGTATGGTGGTAGAGCAATCCTTGTCAAGCATGTGTTGCACTTTTTACCTATTCACCTATTAGCCTCAGTAACACCTCCAGTCACTGTCCTCAGGCAGATCCAAAGCATCACGGCTGACTTCTTCTGGGGATGGAGGACTGAGAGGAAAAAATATCGTTGGTCGTCATGGAAAAAATTAAGCTTTCCTTACGATGAAGGGGGTGTTGGTATGAGGAACCTCAAAGATGTGTGTTTAGCCTTCCAATACAAACAATGGTGGATCTTTAGATCCAAACAAACTCTTTGGGGATATTTTTTGAAGGCTAAATATTGCCAAAGGTCTAACCCAATTAGCAAGAAATGGGATACAGGGGAGTCACTGACATGGAAGCATCTTATGCACAACAAACTCCAAGTCGAAAAACACATTCAATGGAAACTCAACTCTGGTAATTGCTCCTTTTGGTGGGATAATTGGCTGTGCATTGGACCTATTGCTCATTACTCTACCGATAGCAACAGATTCAACAACACCACAGTGGCAGATTTTCGGCTGGAAGGACAGTGGAACTGGAGCAAACTTCTACAACAAGCACCTAACAGTCAGCTGGCCAGCATCCTCTCCACAGAATTCTCCACCCAGCAGGACCTCCCGGACTTAGCAATATGGAAACCACGCATGAATGGGAACTTCAGCTGTTCATCTGCATGGAACGAGATCAGAGAAATGAGGACCAAGACCAAATTCAACTCATTCATTTGGCATAAGTGTATCCCTTTGAAAATCTCATTTCTTTCGTGGAGAACACTAAGAGGCAAGCTCCCTACTAATGAAAAACTAACTAGCTTTGGCATTGAGCCAACAAGCTGTTTTGTTATTGTAACAGGTCTGGTCTCGACACGATAGAGCACATATTCAACACAGGACAATTCGCGACATACGTGTGGAGAAGCTTTGCAGATGCTGTTGGAATCAACACAGATCACAACTCTCTTACTCAACTCATCATACAATGGTGGTCAGCAAAGTATAACAATGAAGCACACAAGCTATTACTACAACCTACACCATTATTCATTTGTTGGAACCTTTAAAAGAATCGTTGTGCTAGTAAATACGGAGGCAAATCGTCCAATATTAGTCGAGTCAAATATGCAATCTACAAGGACAACTACAAACTAATGAATACAAACTTCCCCCAAATCAAATGGCCTTCAAACTGGAAGGAACTGTTTCAGCTGGGGGAGAATTGAATTCATGACATCAAAGTGACACTCGTTAAATGGATAAAGCCTCCAGCTCGTTGGGTCAAAATCAACACGGACGGCAGTGCATTAAGCAATCCGGGTAGAATTGGAGCAGGTGGCATCCTAAGGGATCAAATGGGAGCAATGCTATTAGCTTTTGCTACTCCTTTGGGGGAAGGCACTAACAACCAAGCTGAAATAGGAGCAGCCATTTTTGGCATGACATGGGTACTTCAACTGGGCTACAAGAATGTTGTTTTGGAAGTGGATTCGCAGCTGCTAGTGGACTGGATCACGCAGAAAGCCAAACCTCCATGGAGCATCAGCATACAACTACAACAGCTTCAGGAGCTCATCAGACAAACACACAACTTTCGATGCAAACACAACTTCAGAGAGGCTAACTTTGTGGCCAACTCCTTATCAAAGCAAAGTCACAAGCTTACTAGTCCCCAAATATATTGCAGCAACCAACAACTACCAAAAGAAGCAAGAGCCTATTATCAACTGGAAATGATCGAAATGGCAAGTTTCAGAAGAAGGAAAATCAAGAGGATCAAAGAACCACCTTGAGTTGACTTCAACTTTTTCAACCTAGCTATGATAGAAAATCATAGCTCTTTTGAATAAGGCTACAGTTTTATTTTGTCTAATTGTAAAGGGAGAGTCTCCCTTATTTATGATTTCTAGATGCTTTGTATCGAGAGGAGTCCTCTCTTTTAGGTGCTTAGTTTCTAGATTTTCTTTTTTAGAATGGGGATAAGTTGACTATCCTTAGTAGGAAGGTCGACTAATGAACCACCATAGGATTGGAGTTTAGGTTTATGTCCCCCTCCTTGTATTTTGTTTGGTTTTATTTATGTTAAGGCCTGGGGGTGTTGCTAAGCCCCTGAGCCCCCCAAGGGTCGTTCAAATAATAAATAAAAAAAACCATAAACTCTAAATCCTAAACCCTAAACCCTAAATCCTAAATTCTAAATGTTGAACACTAAACCCAAAACACTAAACCCTAAACCCAAAACCCTAAATTCTAAACTCTAAATGTTAATCCCTAAATTCTAAACCCTAAATCCTCATTCCAAACTCTAAACCCTAAACTCTAAAATCCAATCTTAAAATCCTAAAACCTAACACTATATCCAAAACCCTAACCCTAAGCCCTAATCCCTAATCCCTAAATCGTAAACACTAAACCCTAAACCCAAAACCCTAACACAAAACCATAAACTCTAAACCATAAATCCTAAACCGTAAACCATAAACCATAAACTCTATACCTAAACCCTAAAGCTAAAACCTAAAAATCTAAACACTAATCCTTAACCCTAAATCATAAAACCTAAACCCTAAACTCAAAACCCTAAACCCTAAAACCAAAACCCTAAAACCCTAAACCCTAAACGATAAACACTAAACCCTAAACCCTAAATCCAAAACTTTAAACCCTAAACCATATATCTTAAACCCTAAATCTTAAACCCAAAACTCTAAACCATAAACCCTAAATCCTAAACACTAAAGCCTAAACCTAAACCCTAAAACCCTAAACCCTAGTCCCAAACCATAAAACCTAAACCCTAAACCCTAAACATAAACAAAAAAACCCTAAATCCAAACTCTAACCCCTAAACTGTAAATCCTAAACCCTAAACCCTAAGCCATAAACCCTAAACCTTAAACCCTATACCATCAACCCTAAACTCGAAACCCTAAACCCTAAACCAAAAACCTAAACCCTAAACCAAAATCCATACACCATAAAACCTAAACTCTAAACCCTAAACCATATACCTTAATCCCTAAACCTTAAAGTCAGATATGGATGAAGTCCAGAAATGGATTTTATCATTATTAAAGCCAGAAGAAAGACCTACAACAAGAGCATTAAAGGCAGGATTTATTTAATCAGAACTATTAACCAGATACTGTAAGCTAATTGGACACAAATATCCTGACCATATATGTTCAAAATGCAATGGAGAAGATAATGTAATTCCCGATGTCCAGCTGGAATGATAAAATAAAAGAAGATAGAGACGGAAGACTAAGAGATAAAGAAGAAGACAAAGCGATAAGATAAAAAGACGAAGACAAAGAAGATAAAGACAAAGAGATAAAAGAAGACATAAAAACGTGTTTCGCTAACAAAGCCAAAAGTAGATGTAAATTATTATGTAAAAGTCTTAAAGTGTACAGTAGTAGTCACATTATTGTAAAGAAAAAGTCGTAAAGTGTACAGTAGACGCATTATTATAGGAAATAGGATAGGATTAGAATTGACTATATAAAGGAATGTACATGTAACATAAA